ACAACTTCTTTTTTTTTTTTTTTTCCTGGCTGAAATATGTCGTGTGTTCCCTTGAAAATTGGAAAGGGTTTCAGATGGGTTTAGGTGGTGTGTTTCTTAACTTGCTCTGACAATCGGAGGTTGGGTTTGGATTGTTTGATGGGGTTTTTTTTGTTGTTGTTGTTGTTTTTTGGGGTTTTTTTGAACCTGAAATTTAGCAGCTCACCGCCCGCAGTGCATGTTAATGCTTTTTTCTGCTTTATTTTTCCACGAAGGCCGCGGTGTTTCCTGCTTGCCGTAACGAGGGCAGTCACCAGCCTTGCAGCTGACTCACCGTTCTCAAATCAATTCGCAGAAATGACGATTGTCCCACATTTTAAAATTGCAAAAGGGTAGGGCAGGTTGTGAGATCCCTTGATTCAGCGCGGCTGCCATTGACGAAAAGCAGCGGGTATCCTGTTACATCGACTGGTTTGGAGTCTCGCTTTTATCTCCTTTTTGCTGGGGAACAAAGAGAACGACTCACTTTGTATTCTTCGCTCAAGTGCTTTCATTTTTCATACATAAATGGAGCGTAACTTCGTAGTTAGTTACCAGAGCTGCAAAACGCAATTATTTGAAAATGAGGTATTTCGGTGGAAATGAGGACTGGTTATGTAGGCTGCACGCACCAGAATTTGAAATGTCATCTTTGCAGTTAGAAGTGAGAAAAGGAAAATTCTGTGTATAAAATTAGCTGCAGCGTGCCGAAACCAGGGATGTTTGGGGCTCGTTTTCACCATCTGAAGCCCGTTGCTGGATTCTCACACGCTGAGCCTTTGGGACTCTGCCCATGTGGGTAAAACTTCAGGACTGGATTATTAATAGATTTTTATCTAGATTAATAGAAAAAGATACATAGATAAATATTGGGAGTAAGAACACAGGCGTCCTATGTACTTGTAAAATGCAGGAGGCAATTACGGAAGGGAGATTAATATTTTAAAAGGGCTCGTAAAGTATGCTGGTAGTAGAGTGCACGTGTAAGAAAAGGATTTCGTGTCCACCTCCTTACTCAAGTAAGAACGATATCCTTTATAGCTCAGGTTTTCCATCTGATTTTGCCAACAGTAAAATCGGTCGTCTCCATTTTACGTCTCTATGATGCCATTGTAAAAGCTGGAGTGAAACTAATCTTAGAAGCTCTCGGGGCTGGACAAAAGAGCATCTGAAATCCTTCCTGCTAATTGCTCCAGTTCTTCATAAATGAGCATACGTCACCAGAAAAAAAGTCTGCGAACCACCGAAGAGGCAACTGAAGCTGTAAGCCCGAGATGTTTAAAAAAGCAAATTCCCAGCACAGGCTCCCTCTCTGTGAAACGCGTGTGTTGTGACAGCTCAGGAGATTAGTTTTTCTGCGTGCTGGCATTCTGCTCCGCTGAGTTTACATGGATGTTGAAGAGCAGCTTTTCCCGTGTTGGGAAAAGGCTGTGTGCCAGAGCACGCTCTGCTTCTGGAAAAAATCGTCGCAGGTTTAATACTGTTAGCGGAAGCGCAAAATAAAGTTACAAAGCCATTTTCTTTATGCCATTTTTGGCCTGCCCCAAGACCTATTGATTACTGAAATTCTTTCAAGGAGGAGGTTATGGGAGCTGTTGCTTTCACCTATCTGTTAGATATTCCCACGTTACAATTTCCCTAGCTTGTTCTTCTAAAATTAATTTTGCTAGGAGAATTTTTAATAACTTATCTTCTGCGAGTTGGCAAAGGGCAGATTTTTTCAGGATTACTCACAGGGAAAAGAAAAGCCATATTCTCATTTTAATATTCTGGGAACATATCCTTGTGCAGCTTACGTGCTTTAGGTTTGTGTATTTTTAAAGCTGGGGTAGTTGAAAAGGAGTTCTGTTTTTCTGCTTGAGACTACATGTAATTCACTGTTAGAGGCTTTATTTTGATTCGGCTGTGTGCTATAACTGGATGACACAGCAGCTATAATTAACTCTTCCATCATTCTCCTATTCACAGAACATAAAACCTTTGACTTACTCTTGAATTATTATATCCACGTTTCTTCAGTTGGAACATCGAAGAGGCTTTCCCTAAAGAAAGGGGAATTGTTCTTGCTGCCATTTTTTTCTTTTTCCTTTCTAAAAACAGAGTCAGGAAATAATGATATTTTTTTTTTTTTTTCCCTGGAATGTCTCAGAAAGTCTTGATTTGCTTAGGGACACGTATCCCTGAAACTCCCTGGGGAAGTGGAAATCAGCAGCAGCACGATCCTCGTTTCCCAAAGTTGCGGGGAATTCAAACTCTTGTTGTGGAATTTATCATCAAAATTTATCACAGTTGATCACTCTTTATCAGATTGCTGTTTCGTCACTTGGACATCTTCTGGCGTTACCCGGAGGTTATTTTTTTGTCCCTGTGGAATGCTGTGATTTTAACAGTATGTACTAAACATCCTCATAAAAAACAAAAACCAAAAAACCACAAACCCAACTAAAAACGGCCTGTTCCCATTTTAAAGCACTGCTTAAATAGAAATTCAGTGCTGCCTCTTGCTTAAAAGATGCAATCTTAGCGAAGTAGAATATTTAAAATGCTTTAGGAAGTACGTAGTTGAACATAATGCCGAGCGTCAAGACGTGAGAAGGGAAAGTAAAAATGCGTAGAGGGGCAGAGGGTTGCTGCAGCCCTAAAAATCTTATTTTAGCCTTCCCCAGGGGAATGGTAAACCACGCGGTACTGCTCTCAGCTTGGGAATTATTTTTGGATTCTCCCCACACACATTCTCTGACTGTATTTGCGTATTAGAAGAAGTTTTCCTGTTCTTTGCCAATTTATTTCACAGTAGCAGGCGATGGCTGATGTTACCCCTTGAGACTACTGACGACCTTTCCGTGTGGGGTTGGGTTTGTCCTCCTTTTCCCCAAATTCTGTAAAGAACTTCAATTTAGCGAGGACTTGAGCTGATCCAGAGTTAGCAGACAGGTAGGAGGCAGAGGGAATGGGCTAAAGGGGCGAAAGATGAAGAGTGAATTGCAGCATGCTTCACTTTCGGCGATTGAATGGTTTATTAATGAAGAGGGCGTGAAAGGCTGCACAAATGCAGGCGAGGCAAAAAGAAAGGTGATTTACGAATTGAGAAGAAAAAGGAGGCTGTGAACGGGCATGTCGGTGGTGGGAAGTTCAGAGCTGAGAGACGGGAGGGACTGTGGGTTGGTGGGGAAACGTTATTCCGTACGAAATAGGGGGTTGGGTGGTGCAGTAGCAGAGCCCGCCGCGGGAGAGGAGGGCAGGAGAAAGGGCTCGGGTTTTCACTCCTTTCCTGGCACGGCTTTATTTTCTCTCCTCTCCCAAAGCGGCGCTGAACTTCCTCCTCCGGGGACGGAGGAGTAGGAGGAGAGTGTGTGGGAAAGGCACCGACGTGTGAAGCGGCTCGATGTCAACTGGACGGGAGGGTTGTAATGAGAGGGTGAGACTGGGAGGAGAGTTTCTCATGTTTATTATTACTTCTGCATTTTTGACCTTTTTGTTTTGTTTTGGTCTGGTCTGGTGTGTTTTTATATCCTCCTTTGATTGATTGTAAGCATTTGGGGACAGATACTGCCTTCTCTTCTGCGTCTCCAAATATAATGGGGACAGAGCCCAGGGGTGTTTAGCAGTGTGCCACAGCTCTCGTTACACCAAGAGGTTCAGAAAGAAAATCAGTTTTCTGGAATGTTTTATGGAAAATGACTCTGTTGCTGTTGCCCTGGTGTTATACAAACTGTACACCCCCAAAAAAGGAGTGTAGTACAAGAGCTCACAAAATCAGATCATGAAAATGATTAGAAGCCTGAAATGGTTTCCAGGGGAAAAAAATAGAAAAAAGTTAAATGGTTTAACGTAAAGAGGGACTGTAAGAAGCCTCTGAAATAACTTGAGATAAGAAAAAGATAAACTTGCCTATTGTTTTTCTGATACGATGTGGAGAGGAACATAAAAATTAAATTGAAAGCAGCAAATCTAAAACTGACGGGGTTATTTTTGTACGTGGCAGATCTCCCCCCTTCCAGCCTCCGAGTTAAAATTCCAGCAGAATTTTTTAGAAGGCTGCTCGTGTAATGGAGAATGAAAGTCTCCAGGGTTATGTCAGACAAAATTATTTTTAGCGATGTTATAAGCCCTCGTGCCTCGGGGAAGAAATCAGCCACTGAAAAAGATGACGTGTCCCCACTGGGCAAGCTTTAATAACATTATTCTCTGTATTTCTGACTTTCCTGTGAAGCATCTAACGATCTGCACCGTCAAGAGTCGGTGGACTAGATTGACTCCCTGTATGATCTAGTATGCAAATCCTGTTCTGCCGCAATTATTGTTTATAAAAGATGATCTTAGGTCTGAATTCTTTATACGCTGACGTTGGCCGTTGAGGCTGAGCCTGCAGATAGCATTGCTGCTTCATACACATCTGCCCAGGTTATTCTCGAGCCGTTGACCAAATAAACTTGCCGTGGTTTTCTCGCACAAGATTTTTGCATCATCAGAAGTACGGATCTTTTTTTAAAGGCGTGCAAGAGGCAGTAAGGAGAACTCTGGGGTCGACTCTGGGATTGACAGCGGTGCCTGAGAGCACGATAATATTTCTTTTTTGTACATGAGAGCACTGGGAGGGATTTTTAGGCTTTGGCAAACCTGTGTACCCTCTCTGTATTTCTCTGGTCTTCCCACACAGCTCCTAAGCTGATACAACATTGTATTACAATTAATTAAATCTCTGCCATTGTCACGGAGCGTAACAGGATCTATCTGACATTTTACCCCTATTCCGTTTCCCTGACTGTCTCCTCTGAGGGCTTTGTAGGAGAATATTTGTAGAATGACTGTAAATTCCTGTGTGTAACTGGGCTGTGTTATGGAAACTGGATTTTCTGCATCGGGCAAAGGAGAGAGGAGCAAAAACTCTGACATTTTGCTTTTTAAATAAAATACCTGTGTCCTCTGGTCACTTTGCACGTCCGTGCACTCATCTGTCATTCTCTTTATGCCGTTGATAGCAGTGACTCCAGCAGCAGCTCGAGTGACGAGTCCCCAGCACGGTCGGTTCAGTCGACAGCCGTCCCAGCGCCCGCGTCCCAGCTGCTTCCATCTCTGGAGAAAGATGAACCCCGGAAAAGTTTTGGGATCAAGGTTCAAAATCTTCCAGTGCGCTCAACAGGTAAATTCACTTGGGAAAGTGAAATAGGGGGGGAAAGGAATAAGAAGCAGGTTAGGGACTGGTTAAATAATCTTTATTGTGTCTTTGGCATGGCAGCTGCGCGCTGCCTCCAAGGACAGGGTTCTCTCTCTGCTTCTGCCTCGGTTCTCGTGTGACGGAGGGCAAATCGCTTCTTTAGTGACCGTCGGTGAGAAATCCTGCAGGTCCCTAGCTTGAGTCCCTGGCCTTGAGCACTTCCAGCTGCTGGAGCTGGTGCTTCGAAGCCGTAATGTGGATTTCCCCAGGGAAAAACCTGAAACAGCTCAATTTTTTCACTTAAAACTTGGACCATATATTTTCACCCTGCTTCAGTTTCTTTTTTTTAATACAGAAACTTCAGGGTTTTCTGTTGCTGTGAAACACCCGTGAGCGTATTCGTAATGGCATTGAATGTTGCACAGTAAATAATGCACGAAACCACTCGCTGAGGAGTGCACACCATCGCTCTCTGTTCCCTGTGCTGATTGCGGGAGAGACCCCACAGAAAAAATCAGCACGGGATCATTTGTAAACCAGTTGTAACATAATTCAGGGATACAAAGGCATTGGCTGAATTAAACTAATACATATTAACTTTGTGAGCAGCACCTCACAATGTTAATATTCTTTCTATAGATTTTACTTCTGTTATATTCCTTGAAGTGACACAACGCCAAGGGAAATACCCCACAGATCTCGGGCAGATTGTGTGGTCGTGAGTCAGATTTTGCAATATCTGCTGAATCTGCCTAGTTATCTTTCTGAATCGACTGAACTGAATGCTGTGTAACTTCAATCTCCACTCCAGGTGCCTCATCCCAGCTTGGGAAAACTGCTCTACGCAGTGTCCACGTGGGATTATTAATGAAGTAGCACTTCTTCATCTTGAATTGGATGCCTCTTAGAAGTAATAACCATACGCAGCAAGCTTTAGCGGTGTAAAACCTTGCATGTGTAGTTTCTTGGGTTCAAGAAATCAAGGCAAAGAGAAAGATCAGCCAGCAGCTTTTGGTAGTGGCAAAATTAACACCCAAAGTTAAAAAGGCACTTCTGTGAACACTGAGATTCAGGTTAAACTGGGTGAAATCACGTTTCAGAAAGAAGATCAGGTATCTTCGTGTCTTATGGTGCTATTAAATTGGTAAAAAATACATTTTTTATAGTACTAATGTTTATTTGTTGCTTTAGATACAAGCCTTAAAGATGGACTTTTCCATGAATTCAAGAAGTACGGAAAGGTGACATCGGTGCAGATTCACGGCGCTTCTGAGGAACGGTATGGACTGGTGTTCTTCCGACAGCAGGAGGACCAGGAAAAAGCACTCAATGCCTCAAAAGGAAAACTTTTCTTTGGCATGCAGATTGAAGTCACGGCCTGGATTGGACCAGGTAAGGGCCATGCCCTTCTTGAACCAGACGCGTGAGTGCTCCGGGCATGTTCACGGGCTGTTGTGAAGAGGCAGCGCAAGAGTAGGAAATGTTCAGACTGCCTTTCTGCAGAAACATAATTTAAAGTAACTGGGAAATAGGCCAGAATAAATTCCAGAGCAAGAAGAGTGGATGCTCTTAGGTCAAACAGGGAGAGAGTTCCAGTCTGAAACCTCAGAGAAGGAAACCTGCCATCCTCTCAAACAGTGGGATCTGCTGGCTGCTGGAAGAAACGATCTCATCTTCCACGTCTCAGCGGAGCAGGAGCCAGTGGGTGGTGTAAGCGTAGCACTGAGTCCTCACAGCCTTGGTTTTTCTGCTTTTAATTAAAACAGCTAACGATGGCTGCATTTTTGAGGCTAAGGCAGCGTAGCCCGAATGACCGACCAGTGAAAACTGCAGCACTGAGCATGTGGTTGTCAGTCTGTACTCCGGTTTCTTGTTTAAAAATGGGTTTGTGAAAACAAACTTACTGCATGTGCTGTTCCCCCCAAGTACAGTGAAGCTTTATTTGAGTTCATGGTACACTTTAATATTTGTTAAAAGAAAAAATTTCTAGAGAAGCAGTTGGCGTGTGCAGCTACCTTTCACCTGAGGATGCTCCAGTTCCTCAGCGCTCGCCCAGTGGTGTGATGTGGAGATTTCAAATGCCATGTAAATAACACAGTTGACAAGTGTAGTTGTACTGCGTATTTTTGTCAAAGACATCGGTTACTCTCGTTCAGATCATATCTGCTCATCAGGAAGTAGACTTGAACAAACAAATCGATGTGAACCAAAGCCACATGAAAAACACCTCCGTGCATTACAAATTTCTTGCTCTGTTTTGCTTCTAGAAACAGAAAGTGAGAATGAATTTCGTCCTTTGGATGAAAGGATAGATGAGTTTCACCCAAAAGCAACAAGAACTCTCTTCATCGGCAACCTGGAGAAGACAACCACCTACCATGACCTTCGCAACATCTTTCAGCGCTTTGGTGGAATAGTGGTACGTGAATTCTCTGTACTATAGCGGGCGTCATTGCCCGTTCTTTCTGTACAGACCTGTAAAATGCTACGAGCGGCGGTAAATCATAGTGTCGATGACAGATAATACAGTCTTTATATAATAATCTGAGTCACTCATCTTGCTAGAACGTACCTGGAAGCTTTTCCTTACGTTTCTAGTGAAATCTTGGCACACGTGTCAATACAAGGGGATAACTTTGCAGTAGAAACAGTCCTAGGAGCGTTTACCAGAAACGTGTCTTCTGCTAGCTCGGAGCACGTGCAGAAAAGCCTAACCAGGTAGCTGGGATGTAAATACGCCTGGTGTCATTTTCATGTTGACTTGGTACCACTCTGTGAAGTCTCAGTTCCCTGTCGGGTTCTGAAAGAAGCGGTTTAGTTGCTGCGGGTGGAAGTAGCCATCAGCTATCACAGAATCCTGCAATGGTCAGGGTTGGAAGGGCCCTCTGGAGGTCCCCCAGTGCCACCCCCACCAGAGCAGGGGCACCTCCAGCAGTGGCACAGGACGGCGTCCAGGCGGGTTTGGGATGGCTCCAGAGGGGGAGACTCCCCCACCTCTCTGGGCAGCCTCTGCCACTGCTCTGCCGCCCTCACAGCAGAGAAGGCCCTCCTCAGGTTGAGGTGGAACTGCCTATGGTCATGTTTGTGCCCGTTCCCTCTTGTCCTGTCACTGGGCACCACTGAACAAAGACTGTTATAATCTCCCTGGCACTCTCCCTTTGAGTACTTACGAGCGTTGATAAGATCCCCCTCAGTCTTCTCTTCTCCAGACTGAAAAGACTCAGCTCTCGTGGTCTGTGGCCTGGCAGTAGGGCAGAAGGGACGCTGAGCAGAAGGATTAGGGATGACACACGTAGGATTTGGGTTTTCAGCTGAGCAGGCACATCTGAACGAGACCAAGCAGCAGTCAGCCCCCTCTCCTCTCCTCATGCCACTTTCTATCAAGTCATATCAGTATTGCGTTTAAGAGAAATTTTCCAGAAAAGTAAAGTGACTCTCCACGGTCAGTTTAATTAATTGAATCTAAGCTTTGGCACTGATAGTTTGTTTTATATGCTCGCTGTACAATATTCTCCTGGTAGCTGTGGCTGCCTATGAACATGTTGTGCCTTATTCATTCCACTCTGAAATATTTTTGTAACCGTTGAGGTATCAGTCACACATACCAGGAACCCCATCTGTACTTTCCCCCCCCTCCCCCCAAAAGAAGGGGAGGCGTGCTTCCATATACGATGTGGACAAATACGAAATTTGCATTTTATGTTGTCTGGCAGCTCTTGCACATCCAGCCTCCGCTCTATCCTTGACATCAACGCTGATTTATGAATTCACGTGGTGTCTGCGGCTTAAATCCTTCTCTAATGTTATACCAGCAGAGCTGTCCTGATAAAGATGCTTATCAGTAGTAGCGTGCTGCCTTGTAAATTGGCTTTTCTGTGACATAGTGCTGTCCTGTCAATGTTATTAATCGGTCAGAATCCGGCAGCGGCGCTGCCTTGCACGATTTCCATGAAAACTTACAAGCTCAGGTGCAAAAGGGGCCAGCTTTGTAACCTTTCCGGTGGATAATGAGCAAAGTAATGATATTTTATTTGCCTGTCGGAAGGAATTGCTTGCCCAGGGTGAGTGGTCGAGTGCAATTTGCCATGGTTGCAATCGTGCTCCTTCAGACTCTTGGAAACGTAGTCCTTTATTAGTATTCCACTTAAATCATTAGGCCGGGGCTATAGAAGTCTAATAGTTGTGTAAATCTCCCTGTTTACTTCTGTTTTCCCAGATAAAGAGCTCTTGGGTGAGACCGTATCAAACTGCTGCCTTGTCCCTAAATTTATTAACCATGAAATTAGTCTGTCCTGGATGTTGGAACGGTGGTGCTTAAATTCGTGTGCTGGCGTTGGCGTCTGGCTCACAAAGGAAGCTGGTGCTATTTAAACAAATAAACCGAAACGCTCCACCTTCTATTTTCAGATCGGAATGAATCATAATATCATGAGTTTGTTCAGAGGCTTTCGGTACATTTGCCAGTGCTAGTGCTGAGCTTGAGTGTTAACCAAATGTCAACTCCAAGCTTGCTGGGTTTTTGAAATCGATTAAAATCAGCCTTTATTAGGCTTTCGTAGCGTTCTCGTGACTGTGCTGATTTTTGAATGGGCCTGCGGTGGCTTGAGGTCAAATACCAGCAGCGATAGAAGTTGAGGATTTTTTTTGCCTTTGCCATGTCAGTGCCAAGATGGTTCAAGAGACGAGTCCAGCCTCACTTTCTGTTTCTAGGAACAGGATGGATCATGTTTATTTGGAAAAGAAACCCCACTTGCCTCCTGGCTCAGAAATGAGGATCGGAGCAGGTTGTTTTCTCTTGAGCCTTTGCGAGCGAAAATTAATGTGTGTTTCTTTGATTCTCAGTTGTCTCTTCATGACATAATATTAACAAGCTAAAGCGACTGTTTGTTGATCAGGTCAGGCTTACTTCTGCGGGGCCGAGTTCTAAATCGGCATTATGAAGAGCTTTCCCTGCGTCAGTAAGGATTTGGCTTTTGCCATTGAGTGAGATACAGCGGAACAGTGAAGTTTAAATCCTCTCTTAGAAGAAAATGCTAATTAAAGGAGTGCTTGCTGTACCGTGTGTCTCAAAAAAAAAAAAGTTCACTTAGATCTGATTGATGCTGTTGAATGTCCTTTTCGGCCTGTTGCTGACTGTGGATTGTTTTGGTTTGCTTTTTTTTCCCCCAGGATATCGACATTAAGAAAGTGAACGGGGTTCCTCAGTATGCATTCCTGCAGTACTGTGACATTGCAAGCGTGTGTAAAGCAATTAAGAAGATGGATGGGGAATATCTTGGAAATAACCGGCTCAAGGTAAAGAAATCCCCCCATGGACTGTATCCTTCTCCTTGTTACTTCTGTTTACAGCATCCTAGGATATTTTGCTGCAGCACAGTTTATGGAAGTAAGATGTTTTTTAACACGTAGGTCAGATTAGAGCGTGATGTTTTCACCCACCGCCGTAATTGGGATTAATTAGCATTTTTGTTGGCTGTCTCGGCAAGGAGCCCCAGGGTTGAGTAGACTTGGAGGCTGACGTTCCCCGGCCATGAAGGTCCCCGCGAGGCCGTGCGGGGAAGCTGTACTGGTACTGATGATAAACAGAGGCTGTCAGTCCCCAGAGCTGTCAACCTGTCACTTTGCAGAAGCATTCAAATTGTAGAAGAAACAAATGTTGTCAAACACTGCATTTGTTTAAGCATACAGAATTATTTTCATTAATTGCTATTTGATTTTTGTCTTGCTTGCACCTGCGCGAGATGCTAATTTTAGAAAATCGGTACAAATGACTAGCTTTCTTCAAATAACTCTTTAATTAGGCGTGCTCTGTGCAGTTAGTTTAACGCTTGTGAATTGTACTGATGGAAGTTTTGCCCTTTTGTGTTCAGCTGGGTTTTGGAAAGAGCATGCCTACAAACTGCGTGTGGTTAGATGGTCTTTCTACAAACGTTACGGATCAGTATTTAACTCGACATTTCTGCCGATACGGGCCTGTGGTAAAGGTAGGTGGGAGGCTTTGGCGTGTGTTTTGAAGTTGTTACTGTCTTCCTTTCTTCCCATCCTGTCCTTTCAACCCCGACTGTCCAGGGCTTTATAGCTCAGGTAGAAAAATTCTCTCTGGGGTGTAATTTGGCCGACAGGGCTCTGTAGCTTTGCATCCTGTTGATCCAATACGTAGAGCAGTCGCTTCTGGTGTTTTGGGAAAAAAAAGAAATTAAAATTAAAAAAAAAGTATTTTGAATGAGCCGAGATAATGAGTATTGGAAACCATTTGTTGCTCTTGTGCAGTACAGTCTCTCCCCAACAAAATTGCTTTTGAAAGCTAACATTGGAGGAACAGCAGTCTAATTACGTAGTTACACTCATGCATGCTAATTACATAATTAGACATAACTATATTTTTTTTTTCATTGGACCAAAAAAATGACTTTTTAAAAGCCATTAGGGTAGTCACACTGACAAAAGTACATGAAAGAAGAGTCACTGAAGGTGCAACATACCCATATGGCACGGTGGGAGCGCGGTACCTGCCCCGCTGCGGGTCGGTACTAGGGGTTTATGCACATGCTTAAACTTAAGCGTGTGAGTTGTCCCCTGTGTTTCTGTTGGACATCGATGTGCTTAAAGTTAAGCAACGTGTGTAAATCTTCGCAGGATCAGGGTCTTGCCTCCTTAACGGATTTTTGTGGGTTTGTGTTGCAGCTTTGACATTCTTTGTTGTAGCTGTTGTTGCTTGAACACTTAAGTTTGTGTTGCTAAAGGGAGCTAATATTTGGAAATTGGGCATTCAGCAACTGACGAGTGGTACTGCAGACTGTGATAAAAAAAACTGTTTCCATTTGGGGATTAAATGTTCCCTTTACCTTTTTTCCCCCCTAAAATACATTGGAAATTTTTCAAAAAACTAAAAGTAAACAAAGAGAAACGACAAAACTCAGTCACCAAAGACAAAGAAATTAAAAGTAAAATACAGAAAAACAAAATAAAGGCATAATATACCTCAAGCCACAATATCCACAATTCAAAGCAGTCCCGTCTCCTTTTATTGTCTCTTCATTACAATATGCCTCATCAGAAAAGCCTGGAAATTCACCTTGCTAAAAATTATTTCCTTACTGGTATCCTCATGACTTAGGATTTTGTTGGGACTGACATTAAGTCCTGTGGATGAGGCTCTTATTTGGTTTTTGTTTTGTTTTTTTGTTTTTTACAGGTGGTGTTTGACCGCTTAAAAGGCATGGCCCTGGTTCTCTACAATGAGATTGAATATGCACAAGCAGCTGTAAAAGAGACCAAGGGGAGGAAAATCGGTGGGAATAAAATTAAGGTGTGCAGAATGACCTCCAAAACAAACAAACAAACAAAAAAAAAGAGAAACAAATTGTATTTAGGCCTTACCCCTTAAATGCTGGCATTTGCAGACTGCCAGTCAAAAGGAATACTTAGTGGGACACGTATGTCCCAGACATCAAAGGCTGAAACTATTTTTTTTCATACTCGGCTTATCAAGCTGTTAGGGTGTCTTGAACCGTTACTTATAAAGCCTTTTCCAGTATTCTGCCGTTTGTTTCACTGAACTTGTCTCTCTAAGCTCCTGAGTGTTGGTGTCCGTGTTACTACCTCATTTACCCAAATCCACAGCAAACTTTTGTCCGTTTTCATGTTAGAAGAGTGAAATCTGAGGGTGTGAGTTCCTCCGGGGATGACACATCGCTGCGTTTCAGCCGCTCCGTGCTGACGTCCAGGCTCTTGACCTGGCCGAGACGATCTGCAGTGGCTTGCACGCCGTAGTCGTGGGCTACGACAACCCAGGCGTGCGGTCTGCTCTCGCGATGGCAGCTCCTTCCTTGTAACAGATTAAAAAAAAAAAATAAATTAAAAACCAGTTAGAAAGTACTTTTTCCTGGAGCAACACTTAACATTTACAGGGATGTCTTGGATTTGGGCGAATGTGGTAATACCTGTTACGACTGTCCCATCAGTTCCACTAATTGGGGACGTGAGGTGTCAGCCAACCCTCTGAATTATCTTCCTCCTCCTCCTTTCTTCTCTCTTAAAGAGTGGGTAATGATTTCAAGCATGATCTCTCATCTGGTGTATTAACCGAGCAACTTCACGCCCCTTGGGGTTAGGAGTTGGATATACTGTAGTTTCTAAGCGTGGTGGTTGAACAAAAGTAGCCTTTATCTGCAATAAAATGTGCGGTCACTTAAAAATTAAATATCTTGTGTTAGTGGGTCTTGCTACTTAGCGACTTTGGAATAAGCAACACCCTTAATGAGTGTATGCTGTGGTTATACAAGTGTCTAGGCTGATTGAAAAAAAAAAAAAGAGGCACTAGAATGGTAAAAATACTGCATTATGTGGCATACACGTAGTTAAATCCATTCTAACCTTTAATTTTTTGCATCAGCTGTGCCTTTAGCTTCTAAATATTGTCACCCGTGGCTAAAAAACATCAACTCTTTGAGTAGCTAGAGCAGGGAGCTGCAGTTCGGGAGGCTTGGTGCCTTCCCTGCGCCTGCTTTTGCCTTTGTGTGTAACCCCGGGCAAACGACGTGGAGCCTGAAACAGATTAATAACACTGACCCGCTGGAGCACTGCGTTGAGATAAAAGGGACTTTGGAACCGTAATTGGAATCGTAGTATTAGAAATGTCAATACCACGATAACGATGTGTATTTTTCCTGCTGGTTTACTGAACTGAAGCCTCTGGTCCCGCAGCTACACCGACAAACCCCAGTAAGGAGGGCGGTGTATAGCTCCACGCGGCTACACAGATTCAAGAGAGAGATTTTTACTCCTGGAGATGCGTAGGGCCGGTCCTGAGAAGCGTTTGACGCTTTGTTTATTATCATCATCCCCATTTTCAGTCCTGCTCCCCCCTTCAGGCTGCAGCAGACAGTGAAATGTTGTCAAAATGGGGTGTTTCTCTCGCTGAACGTGATTTACCCTTTGTTTTTCAGGTGGACTTCGCGAATCGAGAAAGTCAGTTGGCATTTTATCATTCCATGGAGAAAACGGGTCAAGATATCAGAGACTTTTATGAAATGCTGGCGGAAAGAAGGCATGTGTCAATACCTTTATTGCAGTCTTTTACTTTCCCAGTGTTCTCTTAAGTGCAAGTAAACTTTCTTCAGGCCGTAATTATTAAACGAACACTTGGTTTTGTTCCTCTCAATTTTATCCTTCTTTTTTAAGTTTTTAACAACAACATTTTAGCCTATTTTTCCTGTCTTCCACCTCTTCAATGTTTTTTTTTTTAAACAAATTTAGGTGGTCAGACTTAAAGTGCGCAGATTAAAGCAGACAGGATTGTCACACGTCCGAAGTGTAGCCAGTTACCGAAATTCGTACTCGGGTGGAGGGTTTGGCTGTCTGCGTGATCTATGTATTTAGTATCCGGTTTCTGTGATGGGTCAGCAGGACACAGTTGTGAGTCATTCATCATTTTTTAGGAACGCAAGGAATTATCCGTAATGCCTTCCTGTACCCTCAAGAGAAATGTGTATGTTAACGGGTGTATATATAGTCTGATAAACTACCGCTGCTCATCTGCTGAGCACAGTAAAATTTGCACAGTAAAATTTGCTTTTCTGCTGACCTCTTTTCAACAGTTTAGTTTATTAACTTGATAAAATAATACAACACAAGTGAGGCTGCAATTTATTTTACAATTTTTTTTTTTTTTGCTCTTTGCCGTGAAAAACACGTTCTGTGTTGATGTCCTTCCGCAGCGTCAGTCGTGAGGGTGTCTGCCCATTTCGGACACGCCGCAAAGGCTCGTGTTTGCCCTGCGTGGCCACTTAACCTCTGTGGGCCCTGGCTGAGAGCAGCCTGGCACAGAAGCACTCCCCATTTTGTCCCTTTTTTTTTTTCCTTCAGTGGCTGCATTAACATCACCGGTTTTATTACTAATAACTACTCTGAAGGCTGAAAAGGGAATAATTTTCTTTTTGTGTGGGTGCATTTTTATTACCTTCAGAGGCTGGCTTAATTGTTAGGCTTCTGGTTTACCTATGAATAAGCCCAGCGTGACGCTGATTGTACCTGGGCGCTAGATAAATTCAGTGGGTTTTTTCGCAGCAAAATAGATTGGTCTAACATACATATGCAAAATCGCCGGATTTAAAAGCGAAGAGGGTTTGGAAATTGGCAATGGGGATTTGCATAATGGAAATAAATGTGTGCGTTCCCCAGTCCCTGCCAGATGTTGTGATGTGCTTGCAAGCAGTCAGTAATCATTTCCTCTGAACTACACCACATTCAAAAAAAGAGAAGTGCATTATCGGATGTCTTTGAACGCGCAGGAGTCAGCTGGGCTTGTCTTCGCCGTGAAATAATTCTGAGTAGAACACTGATTTCTGGAACAACATGATACTTGGGTACACGTTAGTCTTGTTTTTCCTTTACTGTCATTATGCTCACATAGTCATTACAAGATACTTAGGAATAATGAATCACGGAGTGACTGAGCGAGCTCTGCAGCGAGTCTTGTAATTCTGCGTCTTCTGCTCCTCCTCCGAGCTCCTCTTGGCGGTTCACAGTCCCTTGCAATGATCTGCACTAACCAGGTTCTCTTAGGTTGTAGTTGTAGCCAGTCTAAATACGAACTAAAGGGGAAAAAAAAAACCCAAACAAAACCCATGATTAATTTTTTTAACTTCACAGCTGCCTTTCGCAATGTCCTGCTTTGCTTGCAGAATGGGGTTTTTGTCTTCCATGGTTTGTTTGTGGGTTTTTTTTTTTCAATTTTGTTCATTTCATAAAATGTGGAACCTGTCAGCTTTTAACCTAAGCTGGGAAGCCAAATACACGTATGTGAAACAGAGTGTGCAAAACGCTCTGTAATGGTGGCGAATCGGAGCACCAGCTCTGTGCCACCCCTCTGCCAGAGAGGTGTGTTCAGTGCTATAAACGGCTTATTTTTGCCGTTCGGAGGTATTGAGATAATAACCCTAATTGCTTGACTTACTTTGCCGAATGCTCCCCATGAATTCACTTGCTCTCATAAACAACCTGATTTTTTTTTTTATTGATTTGGTCTGTAAATAGGCAACGTCAGCATGTCACATGCAGCGAAAGAGCTAATTTGGGAATTAAATGATCACTTACAGGGTTTAGCATTTTTAAAGAAATCTTATTACCACTTACTGCTTAGTAATTGAGAGGTTCCAACCTTGAGTTTTGACTCGACTCATGTTTTCGGAGCTGGGTTTCGGGCTCGTGAGGTGGGGTGGTCTTCGCTACGTCAGACTGCATGTGGGTACACAGGTGTTACGTAGGTTTTACCTTCCTTTAATGTGATATTTAAATTTGGCAAAACTGAAGCAGTGAGAGTGGTGAAAAGGTACTTGGCAGAGCTCTCACGAAATGACCGATTAAGTGCATCTGGTATTTGAGAAGCTAATAAAGCATTGAATCCACTGCGCACTGATTCATTGTTGTTAAATCCCTGTATGCAGCTGTGTACAGTTGCCTTGGTGGCGCGTATAAAGAAATTACAAAATGATTCCCCTACATAGCAAAGACTGCGGTAACGCCCTGTGTTGGTTGAGAGAGAAAGTTAATCTCTTTATTCTTCTATTTAGCAGAGATGAAAGAAGAGGATCTTACGAATATGCCCCTGATCGTACCTACTACGAGACTGTTCGGACACCGGGGACGTATCCTGAAGATCCTCGGCGAGAATACCCAGCTCGAGGCAGAGAATTTTACGCGGAGTGGGATCCCTACCAAGGAGACTACTATGACCCGCGATATTACGACGACCCGCGCGAGTACAGGGATTACAGAGGCGATCCGTATGAGCAAGACATAAGGGAGTACAGTTACAGGCAACGGGAGAGGGAGCGGGAGAGGGAACGGTTTGAATCCGATCGGGACAGAGACCATGAACGGAGACCAATTGAGCGGAGCCAGAGTCCGACGCACTCCAGGCGTCCACAGAGCCCTGGAGCGTCTCCCTCGCAATCGGAAAGGCTGCAGAGCGATTCGGAGAGGAGGATTTACAGCAGGTCGTCGGATCGCAGCGGCAGCTGCAGCTCCCTGTCTCCTCCACGATACGACAAGCTCGACAAAGCCCGTGTGGAACGTTACGCAAAAACCGAAAAACCAGAGAAAGAACGTGTTTTTGACCAGGAGAGAGTCGACAAGGAGAAACGCTTGGTGAGAAAGGAAAAGCCGGAAAAACTAGAAAAGGAAAAAACGGATAAACAAAAACGAAAAGCAAAAATCCATTCGCCCAGCTCTCAGTCTTCTGAAACGGATCAAGAGAATGAGAGGGAGCCCAGTCCTGAAAAATTGAAGGGCAATAGTAAACAAAGTAAAGAGAGAGGTGACAAGGAAGGGACAGCTAAAAACCGCCTGGAACTAATGCCCTGTGTCGTGTTGACCCGAGTAAAAGAAAAGGAAGGGAAAGTTATTGATCAGCCCGCTTTGGAGAAGCTGAGAGCAAAGCTTGATAATGACACGATGAAGTCCCCGCTTGTGGAACAAAAAACGCAGACATCTCAAGCTGAGCAAACCAAGTCTGATCAGTCTAAACTGGAACCTGTCAGAACCAAGGTACAAAAAGAGAAAGCCCTTGCCAGTCATGTAGAAGTGGTGGATAAGGAGGGAAAACTGAAACCCAAAAAGCACTTGAAGACAGAGCAAACTTCCGAGGGGGCCAACGCGGTAGATTTAGACAAGTTGGAGGCTCGTAAAAGACGTTTTGCTGATGCAAATCTGAAGCCTGACAGGCAAAAACTGGAAGTAAAAAGAAGCAGCCAGGATGAGGAAGACGCACGCATGGTTTTGAAAAAGCAGCTTGATGCAACGGCTTCGTCTAGAGAACCAGCAGCGTTAAGGGAAGGAGAATTGGAGAGAAAACCCCTGAGGAAGGAGATGCTTAAAAGGGAATCTAAAAAACTCAAACTGGAAAGACTTATGCCTGTTACTAGTCCCAAAGAAATTCAGGAGACTCTTAGTGTTGGTGGGATTGGCACGCGTCCCACCCTAGATCTGCAGGCGAGGCTGATGGAGACAGCCGATGAACCAGTGGAAGTTCAGGAACTCTCTTCTAAAAAATTGAACCCAGTAAAACCCCAGCATAAACAGGTACAGCTCCTAGATGACCAAGGAACAGAGAGAGAGGACGCGAGGAAGAATTACTCTGGTCTTCCTGAAGACACATCTGACCATAAACTCGGCCAAGAGAAACCTCAGTCAACTGATACGGAGGAGAAAATTGGCATCGACATTGACCACACGCAAAGCTACAGGAAACAAATGGAGCAAAGTCGCAGGTTAAAACAGCAGCTGGAAATGGAGATTGCGAAGTCTGAGAAGTTCGGCAGTCCAAAGAAAGATGTGGATGAATATGAAAAGCGGAGCTTGGTCCATGAGGTGGGAAAACCTCCGCAAGATGTCACCGATGACTCTCCACCAAGTAAAAGGAAAAAGACTGACCAGTTTGACTTTGAAATTAGCACTAAAAGAGAAAGAAACTACAGAAGTTCTCGTCAGGTGAGTGAGGACTCTGAAAGGACCTCCTGTTCCCCTAGTATCAGGCACTTCCCTTTCCATGAAGATGACGACACGCTCGATTCTCCAAGGCTAATGCCGTTAAAGGAAACCAAAGAGTCACCTAAAATAGAAGAGAAGGGTCTTTCGTACTCCAACATGACTGTGAGGGAGGACTCGCTGAAGTTTAATCCTTATGATTCCAGCAGAAGGGAGCAGATGGCAGAAATGGCTAAAATAAAACTATCCGTTCTGAGTTCTGAAGATGACTCGAGTAGGTGGGAAACACAAGTGAAGCAGGAGCCTGGTAGAGTTGATATCAGCTTTCCAAGCAGCATCGTCAAAAGAGACAGCATACGCAAACGGTCTGTCCGAGACCTGGAACCGGGGGAGGTGCCTTCAGATTCGGACGATGACAGTGAAAACAAGCCCCATTCCCCAAAAGCCTCGTCCTTGTTAGAGAGTTCCAGGTTGTCTTTTTTATTAAGGGACAGAGAAGAGAAGTTACGTGAAAGAGAGGAAAGACTGTCGAGTTCCTTAGAAAGAAACAAATTTTACTCTTTCGCGTTGGACAAGACGATCACACCAGACACAAAGGCCTTGCTTGAAAGAGCCAAATCGCTCTCTTCGTCCAGAGAGGAAAACTGGTCCTTTCTAGATTGGGATTCAAGGTTTGCTAGTTTTAGAAACAATAAAGACAAAGAGAAGGTTGACTCAGCTCCGAGACCTATTCCATCTTGGTATATGAAAAAGAAAAAAATCAGGACCGATTCAGAAGGTGGAAAACTGGATGATAAGAAAGAAGACCATAAAGAAGAGGAACAAGAGCGACAGGAGCTGTTTGCTTCTCGGTTTTTGCATAGTTCAATCTTTGAACAGGACTCCAAGCGCCTGCAGCATTTAGAGAGAAAAGACGATGATCTCGACTTCATTTCTGGTAGATTGTATGGGAGACAGTCTTCCTCCGATGGGACTAACAGCACGGCTGATTTGGTGCAAGAACCGGTGGTTCTCTTCCATAGCAGATTTATTGAACTGACGCGAATGCAGCAGAAAGAAAAGGAGAAAGATCAGAAACCAAAAGAAGTGGAAAAACAGGAAGATAAAGAAAACCGACCGAAAACACCAGAAACGGTTCCTGATAGTAAAGAACCAGAACATAAAACTTCCTCAGTAGTGGGTCCCTCTTCGGTCGCTGTCCTACCACAGGAACCAGCACCGGTCGCTTCTGAGAAGGTAGCGAATGAGAAGGTAGTGGTGGAAACAACTTCTGTAAAAGAAGAAAAACCATCTGAACCTGCTCCTACAGCAGAGGAACAAAAACCTTTACCTGAACTTGCTGCTTCTGTCAAAATCGAACCGCCTGAGCAAACTGAACCCCCGCCAGTCGTAGAAGCTAGTAAAGAAGTTGTTGCTACAACCCTGGCACCGGAGGAAGACGCTGTGGCAACGGAGCATCCTTCATACTTGGATACCAAACCTCCTACTCCCGGAGCTTCGTTTCCCCAAGCAGACACCAGTGTAGATCCAGAACCCGAAGCTGCCCAGTTGGTTCCACCTCCGCCCAAGCTAGTTCAGAAGTCCGATGAGGCTGCCGAGCCTAAAGAAGAAAATCCTCCACCTTCTGCCAACGCTGATGCTAGTGTGAGTCAAAAGGCGGAGGTGGCTGCTGAGGTCCTGCCGCCCGTTTCCGACAATGATATGGAAGTCGAACCCCCGGTTGTCGTAAAGGACAAGAAGTCCTACAAGAGTAAACGCTCTAAGACTCCCGTGCAGTCGGCTGCAGCTAACGTCATGGAAAAGCCTGTCACGAGGAAGAGTGAAAGAATTGACCGTGAAAAACTCAAAAGGTCGAGCTCTCCTCGTGGGGAGACGCAGAAGCTCTCCGAGTTGAAAGTGGAGGCGGAGAAGGTTTCGAGGAACGCTGCTAAATCCCCTAGCTCTGCTGCAGAGCCGGAAAACGTGGAGCCAAGCTTGCCGATAGGCCGGACTAGGCGCAGAAACGTAAGGTCAGTCTATGCTACCACGGGGGACAATGAAGGCCCATCTCCAGTGAAGGACTCCGTGGAGGTCACTAGATCCACCAGGAAGAGAGGGGAAAAAGAACCGCAGGAAACGGTGACAACCGTTCCTACGACCCCGAGGAGGGGAAGACCTCCGAAAACCCGCCGTAAGCCAGAGGAGGACATCTCCCCAATAAAGACAGAACCGGTGCAGCAAGAGGCAGAGGAGGCTGAACCTAAAGATGCGGTGGAAGCTCCGAAGCCTGCAGAAGGTTGGAGGTCTCCTAGATCCCAGAAGCTAACACACAGTCACTCATCAGCTGCTACCAGCCAACAGGGGAAGAAAGGGAAGAACGAACCGAAAGCCGATACCTCGGCTGAATCTGAAGATGCTGCTGAAAGAAGCAGTCAGGAATCGAGCGTCAGTGACAACACCAACAAAGCAAAAGCCACGGAGAAAGAGCCGGCGGTGAGCGAGCAAAAACGCGATAGGAAAGAACTGGATGCGGAGAAAAACCAGCTAGAAATCCCCACGGTTGAGATCATTGAGAAGAAGCCAGTGCCAGAAAAGGTTACGAAATCCAAAAGGGGAAGGTACAAAAATACCAAAACCGTCGTCGATAAAGCATCCGTGTGTCTCAAAAATGTAGAAATACGCCTCAACGTGGACGAAGTCAAGGGCGCCTTGCGGCCAACTGATGAGGAGGCAGAACCGGTGGCGGTGTCACCAGCCAAAATGAAGAGCCCCCAGAAAGAGGACATCTTACCACCCCATTTTGCTAAGAATGAGGTAGAAGATTCATTCCCAGAAATGGAAAAAGAGGTGATACGGGAACCAAAGCAGTCCCCCGAAGCTGCCCAGTTAGCAAAACAGATTGAACTCGAGCAGGCGGTGGAGAATATTGCAAAACTCACCGAAACTCCTCCATCAATTGCTGCCTACAAAGAGCCAACGGCAGACGTGCCTGAAGTTCGTCAGGAGGAGGAAGGAGATAAACCGGCGCATCAGGCTAGTGAAACAGAGCTGGCGGCGGCCATCGGTTCCATCATCAATGATATTTCTGGGGAGACGGAAAGCTTTCCCGCACCCCCGACGTACCCTGCTGAATCAGAAGCTGAAATCCCCGCAGAGCCCTTGGTCCCGTCTCCTCGGGAGGAGATGGAGCCCGAGACTGATCAGGCCGTGAATAACATCCTAGAAACTGAGGCTGCTGTCGAGCCCACGGTGCAGCCGGTTCCCAGCTCTGCCCCATCGGTGGTGGAGACGGAGAGCAAGGAGGCCGAAGTCAGCTTCAGCGAATCTTCCAACTCCGCGCAGGAGGCCGAGACCTTGCAGGAAGCTGAGGTTGCTCGGAAGGAAAAGGGCCGTCAGAAAACCACACGGCAGAGACGCAAAAGGAGCACGGGCAGGAAGGGCGACGCCACTGAAGTCAATGCCTTCGAGCCGGAGAGGGTGCAAAGCAAGTCGCCCCCCGCCAACGAAGTAAAGACGAAGCCCGAAGAAGCCTCGAAGGAGGAAAAGCAAACTAAAACTGTAGCTCAGGCGTCCGTGGAGCCAAGCGCTTCCGACGCCAGCAAGGCTGTAGCTGCTGACGTTGTAGCCGTGCACGAAGCTGTCGCCGAGAGTGGCACCTCTCCGAAAGCACCGGCTCCGCCTCCTCTGGGC